GCAAGTGTTCGCGCGTCTTTTGTTTTTTGGTCTTTCAAAATGGCTGCCGCTTTAACACATCTCCATCTCTCTTTTCTCTCTTTCTCCCCTTTTCAGTCTCTTCTTGGTGCATTATTCTTTCTGCGATTATTTGTTGTTGTCTATTTTTTTTTTTTTTTTGTCTGATTGTGAGGCGTTTAAAAAGTATTTTTGTGTTTTGTTTTGTTTTTTGTTCTATTTTACCGATTTTATTTGCTTTACATTTGCACAACTGTTATCGATTTGCTTTTTTTTCTTTATTTTTCTCTTGCCTCCTCTTCCACCTGCTCCTCCACATCCTCCTCATCATCATCATATCATCATCATATCATCATCATCATCATCATCATCATCATCATCATCATCATCATCGATCATTACCATCTCTATTTACTTCTCTCCTCCCTCTCCTCCCTCCTCCCTCCTCCTCCTCCTCCCCTCCCTCCTCCTCCTCCCTCCTCTCCTCCCTCTCCTCCCTCCCTCCTCCCTCCTCCCTCCTCCCTCCTCTCCTCTCTCCTCCTCCTCCTCTAACTCCTCCTCCTCCCTCTCCTCTCCTCCCTCCTCCTCCCTCCTCCCTCCTCCCTCTCCTTCCTCCCTCCACCTGCCTGAAGAGCAACTCCTTACCTGTACGGATCCGTAGCCTCAGGATCCACGTAAGAATAATTATTTTAGACACGATATCTCTTTATGTTTTTTACATGAGTTTTCCCCGAGCGTGTGCGTCTGACACGGAAGCGAGCGGATGGTGGGCGGGGTGGGCGGGGGTGGGGCGGGGTGGTGGGGGGGGTGGGTTGGGGGCTCCAGGGTGGGTGGGGGGGGGGGGGGTTCCTGGTTCTTCGGATACATCTGTATTCTCGGGTGGTAATTTGGCTTCTTCTTAAGCTCCCCTGTGGCGATTTGGGGAGAGGGGTCGGGGGGGAAGGGGGGGGAGGGGGAGAGGCTGGGGTGGGGAGAGAGGGAGTGGAAAGGGTGGTAAAGGGGGAGGGAAGTAAGGGAAGAGAATAAGAGAGAGAGGGAGAGAGAGAGAGAGAGAGAGAGGACGAGAGAAGACAAAAAAAAAAATGAAAATAGAAGGTAGAAAAACAAAAAGGGTCGGAAAGAAAAAAAATGAGAGAGGAAGAAGAAAAGAAAGAAAGGGGGATAGGGGAGGGGGGAGGAAGAAAGGAAGGAATATAGCACAAAGATTAGTCGGATTATTGTGTGTGACTGATTGCTAGACGATGAGAGGCGGCGAGAAGGCGGGGAATCAGTAACGAAGTCCGGCGGTCGTGGCAGCTCAGCGCGGGCGGGTGGGGGCGTGGTTTGTCTGTCTTAGCTATTTCTGTCAATCTCTATTTATCTCTGTATATCTGTCTATCTGTCTGTCTAGCTATCTAGTTATTTATTTATCTATCTGTTTATCTTTCTATCTCTCTTTCTTTCTTTCTTTCTCTTTCTCTTTCTTTCTCTTCTCTCTTTCTCTTTCTCTTTCTTCTCTTCTTTCTCTCTCTCTCTCTCTCTCTCTCTCTCTCTCTCTCTCTCTCTCTCTCTCTCTCTCTCTCTCTCTCTCTCTCTCTCTCTCTCTCTCTCTCTCTCTCTCTCTCTCTCTCTCTCTCTCTCTCGCTTTTGTCTTTCTTATGTTCTGTTCGATTTCTATCTATTTCAAATCTTTTTGTCTATCTAAACTTTCTCTCTCTCTCTTAATCTATTGTCTCTGACTTCTCTCTCTTTCTTCTTTCTCGTTCTCTGGTTTTTTCTGTCTAGTGTCTATATTATCAATCTATATATTTATCTATCTTATTATATCAATCTATTTGTATATCTACTCTCTCTCTCTCTCTCTCTCTCTCTCTCTCTCTCTCTCTCTCTCTCTCTCTCTCTCTCTCTCTCTCTCTCTCTCTCTCTCTCTCTCTCTCTCTCTCTCTCTCTTTCTTTTTCTTCTTTGTCTTCTTTCATACTTTATATACGTCCTTCTAGGAAAAAACGAGAATGGACATTACCAGAAACTAGCAATTTCAAAGTTTGCATTAGTTAAATAAGTTACAAGCGCTTTGATCGCCGTGAATTCAGATCGCTTGATGAGGGAGATGGCTTGTGGGTAATTCATTTCAGTGTTGGGGGGAAATAGAAGCACGAGGGAGAGAGGGAGAGGGAGGGAGGGAGGGAGGGAGAGGGAGAAGGGAGGAAGGGGGAGTAAAGAGAAGCACGAGGGAGAGAGGGAGAGGGGGAGAGAGGGAGAGAGGGAGGGAGTGGGGAGGGAGGGGGGAGAAGAAATAGAAGCACGAGGGAGAGAGGGGGAGAGAGGAGAGGATAGAAGCACGAGGAGAGAGAGGGGAGAGGGAGGAAGGGAAGATCAGAGGGGGGGGGGATCACTCTCCGAAGGAGGAGGGTATCAAGAGGCACTCCAGTCGGGGAGAAAGAGTGGGAGGAGAGAGGGAGAGAGTGTGAGGATGAGGTTTGTCTCCTGAGTATGAGGGACTCTTCAAGACACAAGGGAGTTTGGGGGGAGGGAAGGGGAAGGGGGAAGGGAGTGCTCCAAGACTTCCAAAGGTATACAAGGAGAGAGAGACAAGGTGGGGGTAGGGGAGAAGGGTATGCTCCCCCCCCTCCTTTCTTCTTTCTTCTCAGAAGGAGAGAGGGAGGAGAGGAGGGAGGGAGAGAGGGAGGAGGGAAGGAGAAGAGGGCCAGGAGGGGCCGATGGTGCCTTCGCTAGAACACCCAAGGAAATATGAATATAATTATCATCATCGATAATGTTAATCATGAAGTCCGGATTAAAATAAGTTTTATGTTCGACTTGTTACCGCGAGCGAGAGGCTGAGCGCCGCCTTCCCACGCTCCAGGGGGGGGGGGGGAGACGGGGAAGAGGGGGGAGGAAGGGGAGGAGGGGAAAGGGGGGAGGAAAGACCACGCCTACTCACCAGATGACCGCCAGGGTGTTCATGTGGAACGGATCGGGAAGAGGGAGAGGAAGAGGGAAAGGGAAGAATGGGAGAGGAGAGAAAGGAAGTGAATAGAGAGAGAGCAGGAGAGAAAGGGAAGAATGGGAGAGAAGGAGAGAAAGAAAGTGAATAGAGAGAGGGCAGGAGGGAAAGGGAAGAATGGGAGAGAAGGAGGAAAAGACAAGTGAATAGAGAGAGGGCAGGAGTGAAAGAAAGGGAAGAATAGAGGAGAAGGAGAGAAAGAAAGGGAGAGGAGAGGGGGGCTGGAGAGAAGGAATAGGAAGAGTGGGAGAGAGCGGGAAAGAGAGTGAGCGAGAAAGCCCAAGAGGAAGATGTGGACAGAGAGGAAGAAAGAGAAAGAGTAAAAGGAGGAGAGGCAGAGGAAAGGAAGGGGAGACCAGCCGGGTGGAAAGAGAAAGCAAAAGATAAAACAAAGTAACATGAAAATAGATAAAACAGAGGCTAAGAAAAGAGAATGGAAGAGACGGAACGGTCTTTGGTCATCGAGAATCTAATAGCTTAGATTAATGGAACAATTGCGATAAATAAAAATGCAAGATTGGGCGTCAAATATTAACAAATCAAAATGCGCGTGCACCGTCGAGTCACCCAGACTCATGTTTAGTCGTTTTAAGTCATCTCTAGTCGTCTTGAGTCGTTTGAAGTCATCTCGAATCGCTCCAAGTCATCTAAATACTATTCCGAGTCGTTCGAAGTCATCTCGAATCGCTCCAAGTCATCCATAAACTGTTCCAAGTCGTTCTCGTCTCAAAAAATCTATTCCGAGTCGTTAAGTCGTCTCGAGTCGTTCCAAGAAGTGTCGGTCGAAGTCGTCTCCAATCTATCCAGTCCCAAGTCGTTCCAAGTCGTCTCGAATCGCTCCAAGTCATCCAATACTGTTCGAGTCGTTCGAAGTCGTCTCGAATCGCTCTAAGTCCATAAACTGTTCCAAGTCGTAATCGTTCGAAGTCATCCAAATAAAAGTCGTCTTTCAAGTCGTGTCCCAAGTCGTTCCAAGTCGTCTCGAATCGCTCCAAGTCATCCAAATACTGTTCCGAGTCGTTCCAAGTCGTCTCGAATCGCTCTAAGTCATCCATAAACTGTTCCAAGTCGTCTGGAATCGTCGAATCATCCAAATACTGTTCCGAGTCGTTCTAAGTCATCTCCAGTCGTCGCAAGTCATCTCAAAGAGCTGCGGCTGACTCGCACACGACCCTCACAATGCGGTTTGGTTGCGGTCATCGCGGAAGCATCCGTGACGGATGAGGGCGCTTGTTATGAGTGTTTATGAGGTGTGTGATTGAGGGGAGAGAGGAAAAAGAGGTGAAGAATGATGGATAAGTAGAGAGAGAGAGAAAGAGAAGGAGGAAGAGAGGGAGAGGAGGGAGGAGGGAGAGAGATAAACAGCCAGAGAGAGAAAGAGAGAGAGAGTGATAGAGAGAGTGAGAGAGAGAGAGAGAGAGAGAGAGAGAGAGAGAGAGAGAGAGAGAGAGAAATGGATAGAGAGACAGAAGACAAATAATTAGGCAGCCG